GAAGCATGAATACCCCACTCAGACACATTATACTGACTCGACCGACCAGTCAGCTGTACCCATTAATGCCAGGCCAGGCAGGGACCAACAAGTGAGGAGAGGTGAAGTTGGGTTAACGTCGTGCTTGAGAATATTTCGCTCATATATGAAACCCGATATGTATGTCCTCGTAGGTAATTACAGTCAATGTTGTGATTTCATATGAACAGGTTAATGAATAGCAATTTAATTGAACCTTGTAAGTAAAACTCACAATATTAATGAAAATGAAACACATATTTATGAAATGTATATGCACACAATTTTAAATGAATTGCCTTGTTCATTGAATTTGTTTTTGTCCTTTTATGGACAAAACAATCATGTATAATGATTGGCCAGGTGCGTCTTTGTCACTAATGATTTACGAGTCACTCTAATTGTTTTAACATCACTCGCACCTGTTTGTCATCAATTTAAAGAAAATGAAAAAGAATATTTCATAACACATGAGTATTGCCCTCGTCACCAGTCTATAAGTGTATAATGTCACAATGCATTATTGACTAATGTCACAATGGATTATTGTCTATATCACAATGGATTATTGTCTATATGTCACAATGGATTATTGTCTAATGTCACACTGGAATTATTGTCTATATCACAATGGATTATTGTCTAATGTCACACTGGATTATTAACCACTATCTACCAATATCATTAAATATTGCTTATTGTCTAATGTTGTACAATTCACAATGCATTTTGACTAATGTCACAATGGATTATTGTCATATCACAATTGGATTTTGGATTGTTCTAATGTCACACTGGACCTATGGATTGCTGTCTATTGTCACAGGCTATGGATTATTGTCTAAACAATTGTTACAATGTCACAGGATAATGTCACGGACTGGATTATTGCTGTTATGGATCACACTAGATTACAGTCTATTATCATACTGAATTAATTGTACACCAGGTTACACCAGGTTAATATCTAATGTCACAGTGGATTACTCTCTATAGTCCGTTTGGCTCAAAAGCGGACCGATGAATTGCAATCTAACTCGAAAACTAATAAACATAAAATACTCAATGAAACACTGATCATAATCAAAACATCACACAAACTCTGTGATTTGTTTGCAGAATTTATGTCCTAAAAATAAAAAAGTTGTTTAACAAACTATCATTAAAATATGGACACAGTTCACTATTTGTTACGAGGGGGGAGTGCAAAGAAAGGGACAGTCAGGTGTGCGAGAAAGGATGGAGACGGCACAGTACAGGTTCAAGAACCAATAACTTTGTCGGCACTTGTGCGCGTGCTTCTCTAACTTCTGGTGGTCCCTTTCTCTGCACTCCTCCCTCGTAACAGATAGTGAAATGTGTCAATATTTTAATGATAGTTTGTTAAACAACTTTTTGAATTTTAGGACATAAATTCTGCAAACAAATCACAGAGTTTGTGTGATGTTTTGATTATGATCAGTGTTTCATTGGTATTATGTTTATTAGTTTTCAAGAGATTAGATTTTGCGATTCATCGGGTCCGCTTTGAGCCAAACGGACTATAACTGCTGCTGCATAATGGTGGTGTGTAAACCAGTGACTGCATCATGAGCATCGTAACTGAGATATGGAGACAAACATCTCCAAGCCAGCGAGCTTGACCACCCGATCTAATACAAGAAGTTCTGTTTACGAAAACCAATTCTTTCTGAGTCAACAAGCCTGACCCCTCACTGTAGCCCATTGGATGATGAAGACCAACAACCCTCATCAACCAGATCATGCAGTGTATGGGATACTGAGGCTTCATGTTGCCATGGCAGAGCTCAGATAAGATTTAGCTCATGTGGGTACTGTACCCACTGTATTTTTGGAGTGGGTATTATGAATGTTGAGTGGGTATTTTTCTTTTCTCTGTTACCCACTGCTTTCAAATATGTGTGTATTTCAGTCATTTTACTCACCTAAGTATATGCCATTGAGTAAGTTTACTAAGCAGGTATGTTCTGCCTTATGTCATACCTACCGTATACTACCATCTATAAGCCCGAATTTTGAGGACCAAAAAGCAGTCTGTAGAAGGGGTCATCTTATCCATGGGTTACGCTTTCATCAAACGTTTTTTCAGGGGTAAATAAACAACATCGTATCACTTGGCGTGAACAAACAACAGAAGACGACTTTGTCAGTAGAGGCGTCAAATTTGCAATTAAACATCACTAGACAAGATTATTTACCTTTTAAGTTCTAAGTTGTTTTGCTGGGCATTGTATTTTTGCAGGGATTAAGATTCCCGTGTGTATCTGAGCGGAAATAGCAATCAGCTGTGCACATGTTTCCGGCAATCAAGTTCAAACATGCACAATAATATAACGGGACCAATTCTGGCGAGATCATCAGTAAAATATAATACAGAGTACTATTATTTAACCCAAAGAAATATATCCTAGCATTGTGTAATTTTAATTACAGTTTTTATGTAAAATATATATAATCAACACTAAGGTTATCACGGACCCTCATGAACATGGTAAGCAGAAGTTATATGCACATGGAATGGGGTAAAATCTGGAAACCATTTAAATTCACACATTTTTACCCGATGTTACTGTAAACTAGCAGTCAATGGAAAATGAGTAATCAAAACCAACTTAATTATAATGGAATGATTTCATAAAAATCACTCATCCTATACTGACAGTTACAACACTTGTCCTATACTAACAGTACAACTTGATAGCAATCGATGTCTTTTTCATTACGCGAGCGATTTTTATAAATATATTCCGTACGCATTTGTTTTAAACTTTCTGCGTATCTAACATTTTAAATGCGTAGTTGGTACGCAACAATTATTTTTCAATGAGTAATTCTATGCGTATTTTGCCCGGATACGCAGCTTATCTGGGCCTCTGCCATGGAGACCAACAACTTGTCACTGACTGATGCCAGACAAAAAAAAAAGAGTGACAAGACTGTGAAGTTAAATTACAGAGGAAAGCTTCTGTCATATTTAATACCAGAACTCTGAGTGAAATTTTAGAGACACTGCAGCTGGCATCATTTACACAAAGGTTTCAACTCTACCATTGTTGTCTAAACGGTTCGTAGTTTCTCAGGAGATGTGGAAAATTTAAATTTAATCCTGTTTGATATTAGACAATAATCCATTATGATATTAGACAATAATCCAGTGTGATATTAGACAATAATCCAGTGTGATATTAGACAATAATCCAGTGTGATGTTAGACAATACTCCAGTGTGATGTTAGACAATAATCCAGTGTGATATTAGTGTGATATTAATAATCCAGTGTGATGTTAGACAATAATCCAGTGTGATATTAGACAATAATCCAGTGTGATATTAGACAATAATCCAGTGTGATGTTAGACATTAATCCAGTGTGATATTAGACAATAATCCAAGTGTGATATTAGACAATAATCCATTGTGATGTTAGACAATAATCCATTGTGATATTAGACAATAATCCAGTGTGATATTAGACAATAATAATCCAGTGTGATGTTAGACAATAATCCAGTGTGATATTAGACTGTGATATTAGACAATAATCCAGTGTGATGTTAAACAATAATCCAGTGTGATATTAGACAATAATCCATTGTGATATTAGACAATAATTCATTGTGATATTAGACAATAATCCAGTGTGATGTTAGACAATAATCCAGTGTGATATTAGACAATAATCCAGTGTGATATTAGACAATAATCCAGTGTGATATTAGACAATAATCCAGTGTGATATTAGACAACAATAATCCAGTGTGATGTTAGACAATAATCCAGTGTGATATTAGACAATAATCCATTGTGATATTAGACAATAATCCATTGTGATATTAGACAATAATCCAGTGTGATGTTAGACAATAATCCATTGTGATATTAGACAATAATCCAGTGTGATATTAGACAATAATCCATTGTGATATTAGACAATAATCCAGTGTGATATTAGACAATAATCCAGTGTGATATTAGACAATAATCCAGTGTGATGTTAGACAATAATCCAGTGTGATATTAGACAGTAATCCATTGTGATATTAGACAATAATCCATTGTGATATAGACATTAGACAATAACCCATTGTGACATTAGACAATAATCCTGTCTGACACAATTTTAGAAAACTCTACCACGCAACACTATTATATAAAATACGCAAGGGGTGACACCTCCGATACTTAAAACCTGATCGAAAACTGGGCAGCCTCACTATTTTCACGTGCGGTTCAATCAAACTTTACATTTTTCACACACAAATTGTGTTGAACTTGTAAGTCGTACTTTTACCTTTCTGCTCATCGTATTCAATTTGTCTAACTGCATTTCATATTTGACCATTGACCCTCAAATTAGCATTACCCTCTGCTTTGAACAAATGTTTGGCCTCTCTTCGGTTAACATCGACAGTTTCTGTAAATCTCTGAATAACTCAGAAACAGAAATTGGCTCTCATTGGTCAAGGCAGGAAAACACAATTTTCATATTTCCCGCACTAATTGCACATGTCAAAATTGACCAATGAGAGACGTTTTCTGTTTCCGAGTTATTCCAAGATTTATGGACCTCTGATTAATGTACATAATTAATGTTGTCATGGTTACATGGCTTCAAGTGAGTGAATGAGAGATGAGTGAGTTGAGTTAAATGCTGCGTTTAACATGAGTAATGGAGGTCTCAGACATTTATCACCTTGGTAAAACCCACAGACTTGAGTATGATGCAAACAAACCCAGAAACGGCACCATTATGAACTTAGTGTCAGTCCAAGCTCACAGGTTCTGGCATGTCCAAGAGACAGCACAGCTATCTGTGGCACCAAAGATTGGGCCAGTTGTGCCACCATGGGAAGAAAATGGTAGTTTCAGGAATAACTCGGCGATTGACATTGCATCAATTGTCCCAGTTTCTCATGGGATACAAGTGCTATGTCTATGAAATACATATGAAGGAAACTGACCTTTCAGTGGTTGGAACGTGTGATTGACCTTGACCTCAGTGTCCTTGACATCTATAACTTGAACAGCTGCTGAACATGAGGCTGAGATGAGTTGCTTGTGGACGTTAAATCTCATGAGATGAGCTGGCATGATGTCTTCATCAATGACCTTAATTCGGGTCAAGGTCACAACTGGTTGAAGGTCATCTGATTCATTCTGTAATGACAAGAGAAGTAAATATTTGGAAATATCAAAGGAACATGAACATTGGACCTTGTCAAGTTACCACACAAAAAACATTTTCTATGGGAAGGACATGCATCATGGTGAGTGAGTTAAAATTAATGTCACATCAGCTTTATTTCATCCATATTGCGATTTAATCCGAGGAATCTTTCAAACTGAGAAGAGACAAATTCACAAAAGAGTGTGTGAGTGAGTTTGGTTTTAAGCCGCTTTTAGCAATATTCTAGCAATATCAAGGCGGGGAACACCAGAAATGGGCTTCACATATTGTACCCATGTGGTGAATCGAACCCCAGTCTTCGGTGTCACAAGCGAACACTTTAGCCACTAGGCTACCCCACCGCTCAAAAGGAGTAAATAATGTGGCACAAGAAACTTCCTCAAAGAAAATGTTTGCATATCTGCTTGTTGCCTAACGCTGCACTCTGTAAATAATCGAGTCTGGACCAGACAATCCAGGGATCAACAGCATGAACATTGATCTATGCAATTGTGTCAACCCAGTCAGGGAGCCTGACCACCCGATCCCGTTAGTCGCCTTTTGGGTTGCTGAAGTTCAATTGTAACCCAGATCTTCACGGGTCAGTCTGGACCAGACAAACCAGTGACTGATATGGTGAGCAACAGCCATCTTGTTACAATGACACGCAATCAACCAAGTCACGTAAAATGACAACTACATGCATTTGATTTAGTCGCCTATTATGACAAGCAGTTTGCTGGGGACCTACACTAACCTAGAATCCCCACACTGTCTTTACATAGTCATATTTGGTCAAGTCAGTTAACCATAACCCCTGAAGATCCGGGTTAGAATTGATCTTCAGTAACCCATGCATGGCCTAAGAGGCGACTAACGGGATCAGGTGGTCAGGCTCGCTGACTTGGTTGACACGTCATCGGTTCCCAAATGTGTAGATCGATGCTCATGCTGTTGATCACTGGACTGTCTGGTCCAGACTCAATTATTTACAGACCGCCTCCATATAGCTGGAATACTGCTGAGAGGGGCGTTAAACAACCAAACCAAATCAGTGGCAATAAAAGGATGATATATGAATGACAACTAACCACAGTAAAGTTGTACAGCCGGATACTCCTCTCATCTGAGTAGCCAATCAGAGACCCATCAGTTGCGATGGCACTGCAGACGACACATTCTCCTATCTTGGCCTTCAGCTGGACCAGTTTCAGTGGCTTGGTGTCCAGCGGCAGAATTTCCCCATGGATATCTGCAATGTAATATGTAGTTGTCGCATGGCAGGCTATTGAGAATGCGGACCGCCTCCATGGTGTAGTGGTTAGAGCGTCCGCCCGGAGAGCGGAAGGTCGCGGGTTCGATCCCCCAAAAGACGTTAAAATGTGGTACTTGTTGGTCCCTGCCTGGCGCTCGGCATTAATGGGTACAACAAGGACTGGTCAGCTCAGAGTCAGTATAATGTGTCTGAGTGGGGTATTCCTGCTTCACTGCGGCATGGTATCTCAGTGGGCTAGCACTATAAAACCAGCTTAAGTCTGGGCTAGTACCAGCAGCCGCATATACACATACACACGCATGCACATTGTCATATGAGCGAAATATTCTCAAGCATGACGTAAAACCCAATTTCATCTCACCTCACCTATTGAGAATGCTATCAGTGAGTAAGCTTGTTTTGATGTATGCCAGCTTCATGCTGGAGAAAGACCCAAGGTCATGCAGGTCTCAGGTGAAACCCACAGCAATAGGTATGGTACTAAACCTTGAAACATAATAAGGATGAAAGCTGTTGGTTGGTTGTTTAATGCTGCACTAAGCAATATTCCAGCTCTATGGCGGCGGTCTGTAAATAATCAAGTCTCGACCAGACAATCCAGTGATCAACAGCATGAGCATGGATCTTCACAATTGGGATACAATGTGTCAACCAAGTCAGTGAGCCTGACCACCCAATCCCGTTAGTCGCCTCATACAAGGATGGGTTGCTGAAGACCAATTCTAATCTGGATCTTCATGGGTGACAAAAGCTGGATTTGAAACAAATGCAAGTTGTGGTGCCATAGATGAACAGGTGAGGTGAGGTGAAATTGGGTTTAACGTCGCGCTGGAGAATATTTCGCTCATAAGACGACCTGCATGCATGTCTATGTGTATGTGCGGCTGCTTGTACTAGCCCAGACTTAAGCTGGTTTTATAGTGCTAGCCCACTGAGATACCATGCCGCAGTGAAGCATGAATACCCCACTCAGACACATTATACTGACTCCGAGCCGACCAGTCCTTGATGTACCCATTAATGCCGAACGCCAGGCAGGGACCAACAAGTACCATATTTGAATGTCTTTTGGTATGACGCGGCCGGGGATCGAACCCGCGACCTACCGCTCTCCGGGCGGACGCTTTAACCACTACACCATGGAGGCGGTCCATAGATGAACAGACCACCCATGGCTCCTGTTGGGTGTTCAGTGTCGTTGTTAAACATTTCATTGTCTAATAAAAAGCGTCTGTGGATGTCAACCTCCAGCGTTAACTGATGAAGACTTTAGTCCTGTGTTAAATGTCTGGGATGCAGGTTTTCAGTGTGCCTGTAACTGGGAACAGTTTCTGATGTTTGCTTGCAAGCAAGCTCCTATTTCTGTCACACTCTTCCAGTAAAGTATCACACACTGAATGTCATTATTAATTCCAGAACCATGTCATCTCCTTACTTGACTTTCTCTTGGTGGCGCCGAGCCGCCATACCTCCAGGGATGTTGGATACTGCAACAACAGCAGGCCTGCATCCTTGGCAACACTCACCAGGGGGCGCTGGGGGAAGAAGACTAGGAATACTGACATTGCTTTGTGGAGTATGTGAGTTCGGATGAAATACGTCAAGTTGCAGCAATATGGCAGTGGGGGACATTTCATGTTGTTGCAACATCAGTGTGGTTGGGGGACTGTTGCAAACTACTCTGTTGGAGGAATTCATACTCTGGTGAAAGCTAAACTGCTACAAGGAAGGAACCTCATTGTGAGCACAGTCAACAACAAGGTGACATTACCTGCGGCAGACCAGGCACCTTCCTCCCCTTGCCTTTAGCTGGGTTGATATCATGCAGGACCAGGTTGGTGTCAACACCTGACAACAGACACACACGGACACAATGTGGACATCTGATTGATTGATTGATTGATTGATCTTAGTTTTACGCCACACTCAGCAATATTCCAGCTATATGACGGCGGTCTGTAAATAATTGAGTCTGGACCAGACAATCCAGTGATCAACAGCATGAGCATTGATCCACACAACTGGGATACGATGACATGTGTCAAACAAGTCAGCGAGCCTGACCACCCAACCACCGATCTGACCTCGCCTCTTATGACAAGCATGGGTTACTGAAGATCAATTCTAACCTGTATCTTCACGGGTAGACATCTGAGACTGAGTGAATTGTGTCAGATAATAGCACAGACACAGTGACAGCATGCACTGTGTGCGTCGCCTGTGTGTTTGAGTGGGGCTGCTTGAACCAGTTCAGATTCATGCTGTTTTCACAGTTCCAGCCCATCGAGACAACACGATGCAGTTTAACATGGATACTCTCTCAGAAATGGATGGTATAGTGTCTCCATGTTGACCAGGGAGGGAGGGAGGGAGATATGGCCTCAATCCATCTGGTCATCTCTTGCCTAAAGCCTATCATAGTGAGTGAGTGAGTTTAGTTTTACGCCGCACTCAGCAATATTCCAGCAACACGGCAGCGGTCTGTAAGTATTCAAGTCTGGACGAGACAATCCAGTGATCAACATCATGAGCATCGATCTGTGTAATTGGGAACCGATGACGTGTCAACCAAGTCAACGAGCCTGACCACCCGATCTCGTTAGTCGCCTCTTACGACAAGCATGGGTTACTGAAGATCAATATTCTAACCCGGACCTTCATGGGTAAAGCCTATCATAACCTGGCAACCCCATGGGGTCGTGGTTCATGTCTACCACCCCACTACATCATGAAACAGTACCTCCTGTGATGATAGTGTCCCCAGACAGAACGATGGCTCGGATGTCATGGGTGTGGTTGGACCGGACGATTGACCTCGTCCACTTGCCAGTGTTGTTCTCCCCAGGATAGATGATCTTCTCAAACTGGACAATGGTGGGATCCACTCCTACTGTGTACAAACTCTCCTCTGTCTGAACATAAAACAGATTGATGAGCAAGACATAGTCCGCCCTGGCTTCTCACCATGGCCGTACAGGGGCTGGAGGGAGAGAGGATGGTATTAAAAACTTTCAGCAACATTCCTGCATGATCCCATCCTTTACCAGCAATATTCCAGCACAACTCCTGCAACACTTCAACAACCATTTCTACTCCAGAAATATGCCATCACTATTCCAGTGATATTCCATCACTACTCCAAGAATATCCCATCACTACTCCAGCTATATCCCATCACTACTCCAGCAATATCCCATCACTACTCCAGCTATATCCCATCACTACTCCAGCAATATTCCATCACTACTCCAGCAATATGCCATCACTACTCCAGCAATATGCCATCACTATTCCAGCAATATTCCATCACTATTCCAGCAATATCCCATCACTACTCCAGCTATATCCCATCACTACTCCAGCTATATCCCATCACTACTCCAGCAATATCCCATCACTACTCCAGCTATATCCCATCACTACTCCAGCAATATCCCATCACTACTCCAGCTATATCCCATCACTACTCCAGCAATATTCCGGTGATAATCCAGCTATATCCCATCACTACTCCAGCAATATGTCATCACTACTCCAGCTATATCCCATCACTACTCCAGCTATATCCCATCACTACTCCAGCAATATTCCATCACTACTCCAGCAATATGCCATCACTATTCCAGCTATATCCCATCACTACTCCAGCAATATGCCATCACTACTCCAGCTATATCCCATCACTACTCCAGCAATATCCCATCACTACTCCAGCTATATCCCATCACTACTCCAGCAATATTCCATCACTACTCCAGCAATATGCCATCACTACTCCAGCAATATTCCATCACTATTCCAGCAATATCCCATCACTACTCCAGCTATATCCATCACTACTCCAGCTATATCCATCACTACTCCAGCAATATCCATCACTACTCCAGCTATATCCATCACTACTCCAGCAATATCCCATCACTACTCCAGCAATATCCCATCACTACTCCAGCTATATCCCATCACTACTCCAGCAATATTCCATCACTACTCCAGCAATATTCCAGTGATAATCCAGCTATATCCCATCACTACTCCAGCAATATCCCATCACTACTCCAGCTATATCCCATCACTACTCCAGCAATATTCCATCACTACTCCAGCAATATGCCATCACTACTCCAGCAATATGCCATCACTATTCCAGCAATATTCCAGCAATATCCCATCACTACTCCAGCTATATCCCATCAATACTCCAGCTATATCCCATCACTACTCCAGCAATATCCCATCACTACTCCAGCTATATCCCATCACTACTCCAGCAATATCCCATCACTACTCCAGCTATATCCCATCACTACTCCAGCAATATTCCAGTGATAATCCAGCTATATCCCATCACTACTCCAGCAATATGCCATCACTACTCCAGCTATATCCCATCACTACTCCAGCTATATCCCATCACTACTCCAGCAATATTCCATCACTACTCCAGCAATATGCCATCACTATTCCAGCTATATCCCATCACTACTCCAGAAATATGCCATCACTACTCCAGCTATATCCCATCACTACTCCAGCAATATGCCATCACTACTCCAGCTATATCCCATCACTACTCCAGCAATATCCCATCACTACTCCAGCTATATCCCATCACTACTCCAGCAATATCTCATCACTACTCCAGCAACATCCTTTACGAGCCATCAGTCCGTCACTAGAATCCCCATCAGAAGTTGAACAGCATTGGGGAGGAACATGCCCTGTTTACAAATCTGCAAATTGTATTAAATGTCTAGTTTGTCGAGACTTGCAACTACCCCGGGACCTATTATGGACAACAGAATTGAAACTGTCTCTGTCTGGGTCACATTGTCAACTACAGTGCTTGTATTTTATCATGTATATTGAAATGAAGCAGGACTAAAGCTTTATACATAATGAACGGGATTGTTACCTGTCATGTTGGATAATCTGAGCAATCTGTGAAGCAAGGGTGAACATATCGATTCTGCAGTGACAATAGTTTAAGCTAGTCCTACACAGTATACTGAGTTAAGGGAGTGAGTAGTTTCCCTGTAATAAAGGAAAGAATGAGTGAGTGAGTTTAGTTTTACGCCACACTCAGCAATATTCCAGCTATATGGTGGTGGTATGTAAATAATCGAGTCTGGACTAGACAATCCAGGGATCAACAGCATGAACATCGATCTACACAATTGGGAGCCGATGACATGTGTCAACCCAGTCAATGAGCCTGACCACCCGATCCCGTTAGTCACCTCTTACGACAAGCATGGGTTACTGAAGATCAATTGTAACCCGGACCTTCATGGGTAATTAAGGAAAGACAGACAAAAAACATGACAAGATCTTGATGAACGTACCTCATTGAGACAGAGAGACAACACGTCGGCCTTGTGGCTCTGGAAACTCTGTAACACAATAACATAACACTTAGGACAGTATACAAGTCATGATGGTGTAACACAATAACACAACACTTAGGACAGTATACAAGTCATGGTGGTGTAACACAATAACATAACACTTAGGACAGTATACAAGTCATGGTGGTGTAACACAATAACATAACACTTAGGACAGTATACAAGTCATGATGGTGTAACACAATAACATAACACTTAGGACAGTATACAAGTCATGGTGGTGTAACACAATAACACAACACTTAAGACAGTATACAAGTCATGGTGGTGTAACACAATAACACAACACTTAAGACAGTATACAAGTCATGGTGGTGTAACACAATAACACAACACTTAAGACAGTATACAAGTCATGGTGGTGTAACACAATAACACAACACTTAAGACAGTATACAAGTCATGGTGGTGTAACACAATAACACAACACTTAAGACAGTATACAAGTCATGGTGGTGTAACACAATAACATAACACTTAGGACAGTATACAAGTCATGGTGGTGTAACACAATAGCACAACACTTAGGACAGTATACAAGTCATGGTGGTGTAACACAATAACATAACACTTAAGACAGTATACAAGTCATGGTGGTGTAACACAATAACACAACACTTAAGACAGTATACAAGTCATGGTGGTGTAACACAATAACACAACACTTAGGACAGTATACAAGTCATGGTGGTGTAACACAATAACACAACACTTAGGACAGTATACAAGACAGGGTGGTGTAACACAATAACACAACACTTAGGACAGTATACAAGTTATGGTGGTGTAACACAATAGCACAACACTTAGGACAGTATACAAGTCAGGGTGGTGTAACACAATAACATAACACTTAGGACAGTATACAAGTCATGGTGGTGTAACACAATAACACAACACTTAGGACAGTATACAAGTCATGGTGGTGTAACACAATAACACAACACTTAGGACAGTATACAAGTCAGGGTGGTGTAACACAATAACATAACACTTAGGACAGTATACAAGTCATGGTGGTGTAACACAATAACATAACACTTAGGACAGTATACAAGTCATGATGGTGTAACACAATAACATAACACTTAGGACAGTATACAAGTCATGGTGGTGTAACACAATAACATAACACTTAGGACAGTATACAAGTCATGATGGTGTAACACAATAACATAACACTTAGGACAGTATACAAGTCATGGTGGTGTAACACAATAACATAACACTTAGGACAGTATACAAGTCATGATGGTGTAACACAATAACATAACACTTAGGACAGTATACAAGTCATGATGGTGTAACACAATAACACAACACTTAGGACAGTATACAAGTCAGGGTGGTGTAACACAATAACATAACACTTAGGACAGTATACAAGTCAGGGTGGTGTAACACAATAACATAACACTTAGGACAGTATACAAGTCATGGTGGTGTAACACAATAACACAACACTTAGGACAGTATACAAGTCAGGGATGGTGTAACACAATAACACAACACTTAGGACAGTATACAAGTCATGGTGGTGTAACACAATAACACAACACTTAGGACAGTATACAAGTCATGGTGGTGTAACACAATAACACAACACTTAGGACAGTATACAAGTCATGGTGGTGTAACACAATAACACAACACTTAGGACAGTATACAAGTCATGGTGGTGTAACACAATAACACAACACTTAGGACAGTATATAAGTCATGGTGGTGTAACACAATAACACAACACTTAGGACAGTATACAAGTCATGGTGGTGTAACATAACTAGACAGGAGAATGTAAACTGTGGCTGGAGATGTCACAGTGTAATACGCCTCAGCACGTGATGTGTAATATGGCTAGACACACGTTAATGGTGTAATATGGCTAGACACACGTTAACAGTGTAATATGGCTAGACACACACGTTAATGGTGTAATATGGCTAGACACACCATAATGGTGTAATATGGCTAGACACACGTTAATGGTGTAATATGGCCAGACACACGTTAATGGTGTAATATGGCTAGACATGCGAGAGAGTATAGGGTGACATCAGCTCTGTGGTATCATGTGTGTGGAGTTATCACTCCTGCAACAACTTACCCGAATGAGAGTTCCCATCTTGCCGTTCCAGAAGCATGTCTTACCACGGGAGTCTCCACTGATGACTGTCAGGTCACTGTAACCATGGTAACAACCATCAAATTACATGACAAACTAAACACAAAGCAATATAATAAATGTGAAAACCTTCCCCAGTATCCCCTACCTTGTGACGGTGACACACCACACGATGGTCTCTTTAGAGACCTCTTCTCGGCCGATGGTCAGTCGCTGGATAGCATGTCCAGAGCTGGCACTCCACAAACGGATATTGTCCACTCCTCCGGTCACTATAATGTTCTCACCCTCATGCCAAGCGATGGACAAAATACGACCTACAACATCAACCATAGCTTACAGTCATCTCAGGTGTGTTACACTGAGCATGCACAGTTTTCAAACATAAATGAGTTGAGTTCCAGACTCAATTATTTACAGACCGCCGCCATATTGCTGGAACATTGCTGAGAGAGGTGTTAAACAATCAACAAACAGCTATAAAGTGAGGGTGTAACATATGATATTTGGGGAAAAAAACGGAAATTATACTTGTGAAAATATAACTCATTTACATTAAATAATATCAGCTGAAACAAATCTTGACCAGAAATTTTTAACCCTCTTCCTCAATACGTGAAATCATGGACAAAGGGAGACAACTATGTCCTGATCACAAGTTGTCTCCCATTGGCCAATGATTTATCATTATTCCTTTGTTTCTGTTCATGTACTTTAATTAAAATCTTCTGATTATCATTTGTATTATTACCAAATCACATTCCATAGGTAAAGGCCAATCTATGTAAATGTGCACATATTTTGAACCATGAAAACCTACGGGCAAAATAACTCATCAGATTGCATCAGAATATTCCGACTGAACCTGACTAAAAAACAATGACAGACCACTGAAATAATTCTTTTAGTACAAGAGATACAAACCAACTCATTGTTTGGACAACATATTCACATCTATATACATCTACTGTTAACTTTATACCAAAGAGGATTAGGTTAAATATGAGTGTATCTTTGAAATAATAAACAACATTAACAGTCATGTGTTGTCTCCCTTTGACCATAACTAAAATGACTTCAATGAACACGAAAAGTGTTACCTTCTTGTTTGTCAAATGACTTCAGGTACTGTAGATTGTCCATTTCAATATCAAATAAAACCACACAGCCATCTTCCGTCCCTGCCTGAAAGTAGAGCAACACTGCATTAAGTATGAAAAGCACATACTTGAAATATGACAGCTAAAACTGATTTACGAAACGTCGACAAATATGCCCACTCTCAGAATTCAACAACTTCACATTATTCCCACCTTGAGTAAAACAATCAGCATGTATAAATAAAACATTTACTAAGATTTATCGCCTGATGAAGGAACAAGCAAAAGCCCTGAAGTGATGTTACAAAGAATAATTTAGTTTTTATCCCAAAAATGTTTTTATGTTCTTTCAACTTCTAAAAGCCTATCAAAGACTTATCACAACAAGTAATTCAAATATAAATCTTGTGATCTGTTTGACTTACAAGTTACAATCATTCTAAACACCAGACTATTACACTTCCAGGAATCAATATAGGCAGACTCACAGCTAGTCTTGTCCCACTGGAATTCTGTGTAAGACACCAAATAGGTCCTGCATGGGAAAAGGCAGAGCGCTGAAAAGAGAACACAGTTTTGGGCTAAATGGGATGCAGGCAACACTTCATCTTCATCCAGATACCTTTGGCCAGGAGAAACAAACCTATGACTGACAGTGTGAGCATCTTTTCTCCTTTGATGGGAAAAAGAGCAAACTTCATAGAGACATGGTGGTTACCATATCAGTAGAAGCCAGCATCAATCTGGTAAAATACTGCTTTCAACAGTTCTTTAGTTATATCACAGCTTGTCAGTTTAATATGGAGGAAAACCCAAAATGATGCAGGCTTTAGATATTTTCCTCTTGGTGAAACTCATGCCCACGGTGCTAACAAACCTTGAACCTAATCCGGGCGAGTCTGGGAACTGATCCCACGATAATATGTCTCAGCCTTGCCTAGCAGATACAACTCTGCACCCATTTACTTCTGATATCCTACTTTTTTTTAAACAGAGCTTACTAATGGCACCTTTTCTACTGACAAAACCTGTAAGCAAGGCTCGAGATATGTCCCTGAATAATCATGATGACAAATTAATAAAAGATCACTCACCATGGCCTGCAGTTTGATCAAGTCATATTCTGTCACCTCGCCATCAAGTCCTGCTGTGAAGACTCGCTTCCCTTGCCATATCACAGCTTCAATTGACCGATCTCCACTTCCTGGAATAACCTGTCAAATGCGTGAGGACATAATTAATCTACTTGTTAATTCACTTATAAACATGTACCAAAAAATAGTTTGATAACAAAATGTACATAAGTCTTACATGTTGCTTAATGGTTACATTATACTTACAGCATGCAACCTTTAATTTGTTATTTATAGTCTAATACACATAAAAATGCCAGGCCCATGTTCAAAACAAATTTCATTTTACTATGTTTATTATGATAATACACAAATTAATAGGCATTTACCTCTTGCCAAATTGTTTTATTTTGTAGATAATATAAAAGAAAACAAAAAAATAACTCTTCTTGCTCATCAGAAGTACATTATGTACATTTCTGCAGTTTAATGGTGTCCAAGGAGAAGAACCGAAATACTGAAGATGTTGATGGACTGACTGACTGAGTTTGGTTTTAAGCTGCTTTTAGCAATATTCCGGCCGGGGACACCAGAAATAGGCTTCAGAAGATGTTGATGGAATTCTTGCAGTAAGAATTTCACCATAAAATGAAGTGAAAAACATAATATTCACTCAATCCTTGGAAACTAGTCTTTATATTACACCGACCCGTGCCCTTGACAAAGTAGATCTGTTCATTACCTTAAAACTTTTAGAAAACTTTATTGGTAGTGTTAATGAACATGTAAGGAGTGAGTTATTATTTAACGTCACATCGGCAATATTTCAGCCATATCGTGACAACATATAAGGAACAGGTCCCGATTTGTACACAGTGTTCAATGTTTTTCTCCATTAGCCTACCCTTTCTTGAAACCACTTGTCTTGTTCACTCCATATTTCCAGTGAGCCGTCAGATCTGTAAAATCAAATCACTACTATAACTTCAAATACATAGGATGTTATCATTGAAAATAATATAGAATAGAAAATCATATCACAAACATGACAAATATTAATCTCATTTAAGAAAACAAATTGTGACTATATATATATACACACAGGAACATACAGAACAAGTTCAATCCACAGAATTTATGGGATACATGGGCTATAAGTATCTTTGTATTTGTGTACAGTTACGCATTTCTGTAGTTAAATGGTGTCCAAGGAGAAGAACTGAAAGAACACTAAAGATGTTGATGGAATTCATGCAGTCATGCTTTTCTCTTACCGTGAAACAGCTAGTCTCTTCCATTCTTTTGTATAAGCGAGACAGTGAATTGCCTTGGGTTTGTACTCAAAGAAGCGAATATGGTGCACTCTAAACTCCCCCATCTTCAGTTTGCTGTAACAATTATAGTCAATATATTCACATGAATAAATGTGACACCTTTTGAACTTATAAGGTATGGTTGAACTTACTATTCAGAACATTATGCACAGAGGTGTAAGCTACTTTTTCCATAAGAAATAGTATACATGTTTGGGTTGCTTCTCATTTCGCCTACTTCACAATTCTCCTTCATCCCAACTCGCCTTCAGCAAGTACTGATGGTGAATAGGTACTCTATAAACACCCCGCTGGAAATAATGAGCTCGTCTGAGAATATATTTCAAGAACATTAGAAAGATGCTATAACTGAATTGAATTGTTTGTGATCTTTCTTTTGCTTTTGGTTATTGTTAGAGATTGGTTTTCTATACTAAATGTTTATGGTTTGATTGTTAAAATCATCACACTTCATGCACATTATCTCTCACAATGTAAGCATATCTACCGGCAAATGATAAGTGACTATTTTACTAGATGCATCGACAGTCAGTATTAACAGTAAATCGTCATCTCATACTTTCATCTAATTTCACCTTTCCAGTGCTCAGCTAAGAACGACACGTACATGTCAGCTTCGTGCACTGATATAAATACTTACAATTACAACTGTAACAGTACAATGTCAAATCTGAAGGGTACAACAGCTGCTGAAATCACTCATTCATTGCTTTCAAAGAAACATAAACACATGTGTTCATGGGCGCAACCATGTTTCAGATACGGGTAAAACGAATTCCTCTTTTACGATTGGTTACCAACTAAACGCAACAACCAATAATTACTGAGATAGTAAACTGGTTCCCTCTTTCAGCGCTATTCCTACTTGAAATTAAATGAGACGGAGCCAAGCGTACCGGAAGTGAAATATTGCGCGAAAATTGACAACATTTACTACAAGAATGGTTCAGGTGTACATACAACTGTGAGTTTCAGTCATTATTGTTCTAATATCAGTCACACATCATTTAGTTTTTACGCTTGGATGCAACGAAGACGATTTGTTCTCTCATTCCATTTCGGAACAGACTCCTACAGCTGTCCACTGTGCACTAGATATGTATCGATAATGAAGTTACATTCTTCTGTTCATTGTCATGTGCTTGTTAATTTGGGGACGTTGGTTAAAATGTCAAGAGTATTATATTAAAGGACCTAGTCTCTATTTTAATGGAGTTCACTGATGTAAAGAGTGTTGAGCAAAATAACATTGAACACTGATCAACGTACTTCTAGACATAGACTTTGGACACTGTCTGTTTCAACGTACTTCTAGAATAGACATAGACTAGTTGGTCCGACTAGTTTTTAGTATTAATGATTTTCTCAGAGAATCTGTTTCAAGATGCAGGATGTCATATGGTAATTAACGCTGAAGGGGTCGTTGTCGGCACAGGTACTACAGATACGTATCCCAGGTACGTTTCTGTATACAGATATGTACCCTGAACAAAGTCAAAATACAGAAACGTACCCGGTACCCTAAAAGGCAGACGAGTCCATATTCCGCAATCCAAAACCGAAACCGTATGTAGTTGTTCCCGTTCAACTGATTCCGAGTGGTGTTCATGTGCATCGCGAAATATCTGTTACTATGTATTCTCATTACTTACATAATGCAATCAAATGTATCTAATACAACAGTATGACAGTTCCGGTCAAGAATATGACACAATGGGAATGGAATCGTCCTAGGGTACGTTTCTGTATTCTCATTATAGCCAAGGTACGTTTTCTGTATACAGGAACGTACCTGGGGTACAACGACCCCTTCAGTGTAATTAACCTCTGTAATTCAGTTATTACTATTAAGCTGATCACAGAAGAGTTTGTACTTGTAATAACTGCCATTGGCGTGATATGAGAAGTGTTATTGTCTTCACGTGTTTTATCTCCAGACCTGGTGGTGCCAAGGATTGTCCAGAGTGGGCCATTATTGACCTCCAAGGCGTCCTTGAAACTCGACATCCCGTGCCTCTTGGTGGAAAGTTCATTGGTGATTTGCATTTCACTAAAAAGGTAAAATATGCTTCAATGTTTAGCTCACTTGACTCAAAAGGGCATGTCGTTATCAGGGCGATGGGGTAGCCTAGTGGTTAAAGTGCTGGCTCGTCACACCGATACAGATGTGCTGACATTTTCAAAATGGCTAAATATAAATGTCCGCGGAAATATAAATGTCCGCAATGACATTTATATTTTGCCATTTTGAAAATGTCAGCACATCTGTATGTTGTAAGACTTGATAATGAATCCGCCATATATCTAGAATATTGCTGAGTGTGGCTTAAAACTAAACTCACTCACTCACTGATAATGAACAGCTGACCAGTGAAAGAAAATGCTGAGGTTAGGACCTTAGGTTAGGGTTCGTAATCATCAGTCAGTTAATGTATTTTTCTATTTTAGCAACCATGTGAATAATGACCATTACTTTTCTTGTGTGATATCTTCATTTCAAGTTTATCAAAGCAGTACTATGCTAATACCTCTGTCACAATGGTATTAAACCTTGCTTGACTCGAGGAAAGCTGAGAGTCATCACACTGTAGGCAGTTTCTATCAATTTATGTTGGAGAGTAATAAACAGAAAACTAAATTCGCCTCCGTGAAATACCATTTTATTAAACTTGTGAAAGATTTAGGATACCAAATCATTAACTTGTTTAATATGAATGGTATTGCACAGAAGGTTGTTTTAGTATCCTCTATTTATACATTGTCCTCTTGTTTTCTAAGGATGCACCTGTTCTCATAATTGGACATCACATCTTATATGGAAAAGTTGTGGACCTGGAAAAGCCCTTTGCTGTGTTGGCCAAGCAGTCACAAACACAAGGAGATGTTGCTATGGAAACCAATCAAACAAATAATGGCTATGTTGTTGAAGCCATCATAAAGAAGAAGATACTCTTCAAGACACGACCAAAGCCAATTATTTCACATGTTCCTAAGAAATTATGATACATATGAGTTCTCTCAGTGTACATGTAATCAATATTATATATTTATTTGCATAAATGCTATTTCCTTTTGTAACCATGGTAACTATTGTAATGTATATGTAAAATATTAATATTTTATAAACTCCATGTAGCTGGAATATTGCTGATAGGGGGGTTAAACAACAAACCATCCAAATCAACACACTCCATAACATGTTGTAATTCAATGGATGAAAACCAGTTGAAAAATTAATGTTTGATCATAAATTATTGTGCTATTAGTATTGAAATGATTCCACCACTTTGTCCCTCCTCACACGTCTAACAAATTTGTAATAAAATAAGTAATCTGGTCACATATGGTGATTAAAATTTGTTGAATCAATCGTTTAGTTTTGTTTTAAGTTCAAGTAGTTCAGTTATGAATTGGTGGTAATGATATGGTCACACTGATGGATATTTACGCAGAATGGGTACCCAGCTGGGCTGTAAGATTATTCTGATATTATTGCAGATCTCCATGGATTTGTTATTATGATTTATCCATAAATGTTAAGGTCACCCAGACCACTGGGTAACATTTAATGTGCTTTTTATTTAAAAACGAAACACATCCCTGCAAGTAGGAGGCTTGTTTTGGATGGTTCAATTATGTTATCAGAGTGAGCATTAATTTGTATTGTTGCTTGCGTGTCTACGGCTGTATCTTCTGACCTTGTGTCTGGCGTGTGGATTCCAGTTAAGAAATGGTCACCAGTATCATTGTCTGTATTAAGAGACAACCTTATGGGTCCAGGGCTGGTGGGGTAACTAAGTGGTTAAAGCGTTCGCTTGCTGTGTCAAAGACCTAGGTTCGATTCCCCACATAGGTACAATGTATGAAACCCATTTCTGGTGTCCCCTGCCGTGATGTTGCTGGGATATTGCTAAAAGCGGCGTTAAACCATACTCATTTGCCCAAGGTTTGTCCAGGTTATATTTACAGCCCATCCCCCCATGACAAATATTAAAAATATTTATGTGAATCATCATTCTGCCCAACAAAACAGTTTTCGTTGAGCACAGAGAGTAATGTGACAAAACAATGATTTTCAAGAAAACAAATATTCACTTGTGCTCTCAACTGCTACTGCACTCCCTGATGTTCCTTGAAGTGACAACCAGAGAGCTCCTTAAGCACAGAATTCGAAAACTGGAGAGCTCCTTAAGCACAGATTTTGACAACCAGAGAGCTCCTTAAGCACAGATTTTGAAAACCGAACAGCTCTTTCAGCACAGATTTTGACAATGAGAGAGCTCCTTAAGCACAGAATTTGAAAACCGAACAGCTCTTTCAGCACAGATTTTGACAACCAGAGAGCTCCTTAAGCACAGATTTTGAAAACCGAACAGCTCTTTCAGCACAGATTTTGACAATGAGAGAGCTCCTTAAGCACAGAATTTGAAAACCGAACAGCTCTTTCAGCACAGATTTTGACAACCAGAGAGCTCCTTAAGCACAGATTTTGAAAACCGAACAGCTCTTTCAGCACAGATTTTGACAATGAGAGAGCTCCTTAAGCACAGAATTTGAAAACCGAACAGCTCTTTCAGCACAGATTTTGACAACCAGAGAGCTCCTTAAGCACAGATTTTGAAAACCAAACAGCTCTTTCAGCACAGATTTTGACAATGAGAGAGCTCCTTAAGCACAGAATTTGAAAACCGAACAGCTCTTTCAGCACAGATTTTGACAACCAGAGAGCTCCTCAAAGGTCACATGCAACCAAAAAATCAAACATAATTAAAACACAATTATCACTTCTTCATGACATATGATATGCATTGCTGATTATGAAATAACAAATAAACAAAATTACAAGCGTATAATCGCAAATCAAAAGTGCAATATTTTGTACTTGGGTTTACCTCCCTCGAAACGAAGCAGCCGGGATACCGAACCCAGTCAGAGCGGGTGGATGTGCACTCAAGTGTAACGGCTGGTTCATTAGCAGATGCCGCCTTCACGGGTCATTGTGTGTGTATATATAGAAAGTTGGGTTTTGTAAATACATGCTCATTTTTTGTGTATAACATTTTGCAATCAACAGACATCATAACATGTCATGTGTTCAAGTATCACACCTGCCTGTCTGTGTAATTACATAATGTGACAGAGACCGAACTCGGGCCATAAATCAATGCGTTTTGTTTATGGTGTATAGCCTGATTGGTGTTAGGTTCAGATTGCATGTGGTCAGTGATCGCAGTTGTGTATTGAATATTGTCATTAGCAGACAGGCAGGCAGACACACTGGTGTCAATAAAACAAGACATTGAGTTTTGTCTGTGACAGCGACATACTAGTATCTATATCACAGTTAGAAATCGTGTCAACTCTAAATAATGCTTTTAAGTATCGAACTGAGAAAGTGACTCGGTAAGAAGAACGTGTGGTGAAATAGACAAATGAAATTATATAAACAGTTTATTTACTGTCATAACATACAAAAAGCTCGCGCCTGTGAGATATGAACAAAACATTATGAAACTAGCTCACACCAAAGCCTTCACAGAGTATTCACCAGACAGCCTGCTTCCAAGTTGCGCTCGAACCTATTTCACTGCGCACGTGCTATGAGCGCAGTCAGCTGTTGAAACCCGTATTCCCCAGAAAAGTCTGGGGAAAATTAGTGAAACGTTTGAACTCCAATTTCGCGCGTTTTTTTTCATCGCGTTATTTTTCAACTTTATAAGTTGAATTTGCATTTTTGACGCTTTGTTTCGGTAAGTCCATACCGAAAGGTATCAGAATCTGCAAAGTTGTGTTTTACGTTGCATGTGACCTTTAAGCACAGAATTTGAAAACTGGAGAGCTCCTTAAGCACAGATTTTGACAACCAGAGAGCTCCTTAAGCACAGATTTTGAAAACCGAACAGCTCTTTCAGCACAGATTTTGACAATGAGAGAGCTCTTAAGCACAGAATTTGAAAACTGAACAGCTCTTTTAGCACAGATTTTGACAACCAGAGAGCTCCTTAAGCACAGATTTTGAAAACCAAACAGCTCTTTCAGCACAGATTTTGACAATGAGAGAGCTCCTTAAGCACAGAATTTGAAAACCGAACAGCTCTTTCAGCACAGATTTTTACAATGAGAGAGCTCCTTAAGCACAGAATTTGAAAACCGAACAGCTCTTTCAGCACAGATTTTGACAACCAGAGAGCTCTTTAAGCACAGAATTTGAAAACTGGAGAGCTCCTTAAGCACAGATTTTGACAACCAGAGAGCTCCTTAAGCATAGAATTTGAAAACTGGAGAGCTCCTTAAGCACAGATTTTGACAACCAGAGAGCTCCTTAAGCACAGATTTTGACAACCAGAGAGCTCCTTAAGCATAGAATTTGAAAACTGGAGAGCTCCTTAAGCACAGATTTTGACAACCAGAGAGCTCCTTAAGCACAGATTTTGAAAACCGAACAGCTCTTTCAGCACAGATTTTGACAACCAGAGAGCTCCTTAAGCACAGAATTTGAAAACCGAACAGCTCTTTCAGCACAGATTTTGACAATTTTGACAACCAGAGCTCCTTAAGCACAGAATTTGAAAACCGAACAGCTCTTTGAGCACAGATTTTGACAACCAGAGAGCTCCTTAAGCACAGATTTTGACAACCAGAGAGCTCCTTAAGCACAGATTTTGACAACCAGAGAGCTCCTTAAGCACAGATTTTGACAACCGGAGAGCTCCTTAAGCACAGATTTTGACGAGAGAGCTCCTTAAGCACAGATTTTGACAACCGGAGAGCTCCTTAAGCACAGATTTTGACGAGAGAGCTCCTTAAGCACAGATTTTGACAACCAGAGAGCTCCTTAAGCACAGATTTTGACTACCAGAGAGCTCCTTAAGCACAGATTTTGACCACCAGAGAGCTCCTTAAGCACAGATTTTGACAGCCGGAGAGTTCCTCAAGCACTGATTGAAGAGTTCTTTGGAGCACTATTGGTCATCAGATTCCCCATTGTCAGTACTTAGAGCTTTGTATACACAATGCTCCTGGTCAGCTACAAACACGATCACGTACAGTGTTGTCCAGTCATTGCAGAGTTATAATGACACCTGTGTAGCTTGGCTGAAAGACTGAGCCCAAGGATGATGGAGTGTCTTGATGGAGTACTTCCGATGGAGAGTCTGGGGCCCACTGTTGTTGAAGGCTTCCTCCCTGGTGATGTCCTGAACGGCAAAATGATATGCTTACGTGACAGGTCTTGCATCAAGAAATCTGATGGCGTCAAGTCTGGTGAGTATACATGATGTTCAACAGGTTAAAGCTACAACAATGCATTGCAGCATTGGCAACAACTCACAGGTCCCTTGTGCTTTAATTATTTGTCCACACCGTTTAGCTTTTTAAATTCTGGAGCAGGTATGTTTGTTTAATGCTGCACTCCGCAAAATCCCAGCTTCCAATGGCCAAACAGCTACTAAGAAGATTACAACAATATCGGTCATTGATGCTCAGAAATGTTGGGTGCAACTCAACCAGTCATATGTGGATCCAACCCCTCCCCACCCCCTCTCAAAAAGCTGTATCCGCCCCTGCCAGTATCGTTCCTGGGGAATCGCAAAAAATGGAAGCTTTCACATCGATTATGGAACAAACTCAGCCTTCTTTGTCGGAGGAGACGTTAGATGTTTCCACGTCTTTGACTTGTTAGACTGTGACTGATATGCTGCTGAACCAAGACGGGCCCAGATCATCAACGGAAGCGGGCGCATTCTCTCGGCAAAAGCCGCCGCTTCACCCACAACAACTTGATGAAGAATCACTGTCCGACTTCCTCCCTGTGTGTAGATGACAGAACGGGTCTCCACCCCAGGAACATTGGCCACTCGATCCCAGTGTGCGTTCTGTCATGTGAAGTATGTTACTTGTACCATTGCAACCCAACTGCAATATATGCTCTTAAAAAAACCCAAAACAAACTTAACATAGGACAAATTTTAATTTTAGGAAAATATTTGACACAAACCAATCCATGCTGAATCCCAGCATGTGGGGGAATGGTTGCCGACGACAAAACGTTTGAAAAAAGAAACGTTTAGCAAAAACGTAACGTTACACTCACGTCTGTAGTGAATCGCTAAAATGCACCCAACATGAAATGCACGAGCATCATGAAATTGTGTATCACCCTGAGCTGAAGCCTATAACTGTCTGCTTCAAAAAGCCACATCAGTGCTTTAAGCCACTATAGACGACAAGAGACAGAAGCTCAACGACACAACGCCATCGGCCGTTTACAAGGACGGACATCGCAGCATGATGTGGCAAGGCACTTCAGCGTGTCCAGACAGACCATCTCAAACCTATGGACCCGATACAAAAGGTCGCCCTTGAGTTAC